CATCCTAACGCAACCTCAGCAGATCTCTTCCTCCACCTCCAAGAGGCGGGAGTTGGACCAGAGCTCTGGCAGCTGCACCTGCCGCCATTGGGGAGCCCAAATGAATCATTGCTGTGACTGAGTCTTTTCCTTTGGGGCCCGGTGAAGCCTCTGCTTGTTTTTAATGGTGTTGGCTTAATTCTGGCTCCTGCCCTGAACTGAATGTGAAGATGAGACCGTTTTACCTTGTCCATGCTCTCTGATTATACCACATCAGGACTGTTGCCACTTCCCACTGCTCCGTGGCAGCCCCTCTGTGTACCACCCACGTTGGCTGACTATGGGATGATAGGACAGAGAAGGAACAAGCCAAGGAGCAAGATGGAGGAGACTAATAGGACGCAGAGGCCACTCTTAACACCACAGGCTTTTTAACTGGAAGGAATGTTAATGGTCACCTGGGTCACTTGATCTCAGTCTCCTTAGGGCCACAGATCTCTTTGATGATCAGATGAAAGTGGTCAAATTCTCTTTCCAGAAAAATACACCTTCCCAAATTCCAGGATATCTCCCAGAATCCTTGAAACCCATTTTTCGTAGAGATGGAGTTTCACCATGTTGGCCAGGCTGGTCTTGAACTCCTGACCTCAGGTGATCTGCCCACCTGGCCTCTCAAAGTACTGGGATTACAGGTGTGAGCCCACCATGCCCGGCCAGATAACTGAATTTAAACTCAGCTCTCCTGATTGCCAATGTAGGACCCGTCAGCCCATAGTAGGTTGTCACCCTGCGCTGAGCCCTATGGCGGCAATTGTGGGAAATTAGGGTGCTTACAGCCAAGGAAATAGGATCTCAGACTCGTAGAAAAAAAAAAAAAACTAAGATCAATGAGTAAGCAATATTCCTGCCATAGAGTCCTCTTTGGAAGGTAGAAGCTAATGTCTTCCATTAGTTCACCAGGCAATTATTGAGCGCCTATGAGCATCTCTTAATCTCTAATCACTGGGAGATTCCTTATTTATTAGAAATTGAAACTCGCCTGTAATCCCAGCACTTTGGGAGGCCGAGGTGGGTGGATCACCTGAGGTCAAGAGTTCTAGACCAGCCTGGCCAACATGGTAAAACCCCATCTCTACTAAAAATACAAAAATTGGTGTGGTGACACTCCACAGTGAGATGGAGTCTCACTGTGTTGCCCAGGCTGGAGTGCAGTGGCACAATCTCGGCCCACTGCAACCTCTGCCTCCCGAGTTCAGGCGATTCTCATGCCTCAGCCTCCCGAGTAGCGGGGTTCACAGGCATGTGCCACCATGCCCGGCTGGGGTTTCACCATGTTGACCAGGCTGGTCTCAAACTCCTGACCTCAAGCAATCTACCTGCCTTGGCCTCCCTAAGTGCTGGGATTACAGGTGTGAGCCACTGTACCCAGCTGACAGCCTATTCTTTTCTTTCTTTTGCAGCACATACTCTATTCTGCCTTGTATTTTTGGTAATAGCTCCCCAGTCTGTCTCTCCTACTAGATGATAACCTCTCAAGGGCTATCTTTGTAGTCCCTCAAGCCCAGGGCAGCACTTTGTATGCAGTGGGTATATCAGTCAGGGCCCAATCAGGAGACAGAAACCACACAGTAATTTGAATAGGAGAAATGTAATAGAAGGAATTATTGATCTCTGATAGGAGCAACTATAAGGATGTAAAGGGAACTCCACAGGGTACCCTAAGGCTGAGAGAGAATACCCAGGAAGGACAAAGTTGGAAGGGGCCCCTCTGCATGGCTGGGGTTCAGACTTCATTGGAGAAGGTGTGGTTGTAGCCCACAGGATGGCGGGGAAGTTCACGAGGTTGACCTGAGCCAGGGCTGGTTCACAGTGGTTGAGGAGCAGAGCGCCCTCTGGGGTGCAGGCCTGAGGAGGTTGCTGGACGGGTGTGTGTGTGAAGAGAGAGTCAGGCACGCTGCCAGTGCAAGGACTGCAGCATGCAGTGCCTGCAGCAGGAGGGCCACCGTGAAGTGGTTACTGGACCCAGGCTAGGGCTGCAAGGTCACTGAGCAACCGTGCACTCTAGGCATGCAGCTGGGGCAGAGCCTGACCGAAAGTCCCCACAGACAGACTCTGCAGCCCAGCAACATCCAGATCTGAAGGAGAAATCCCCTTCCTCTTGCAGTTGCCCTCCAGGGCCCCCTACTGATGAGGCTCACTGTAAAGGAGAAATGCTTACAGGGTCCAGTCCATGATCTCAGAGCAGAGGCATAAGGGCAACTTTGGAACTGAGGCAATACTGTGAAACTGCAATGGGTGCAATGGGGGATCAATAAAATGTTTGAATTAAATCAGGGAAAGCTACACAACCTATCATGCCCCCCTTCATCCCTGCTTAGTTCCCTTTCTTTGAGTCCTATAGATTTTACTACCAATAAATGTCAAACCTTTTTAACTACTTTTGTAATTTACTCTCTGGAAGCTCATTTCCCTCTGGGGTATTCTGTGTGTGTGTGTGTGGTTTTTGTTGTTGTTGTTTTTGAGACAGAGTCTCACTTTGTCAACCAGGCTGGAGTGTAGTGGCACAATCTCCACTCACTGCAGTGTCCACCTCCCAGGTTCAAGGGATTCTTCTGCCCCAGGCTCCCAAGTAGCTGGGATTACAGGTGCATGACAATACGCCCGGCTAATTTTTTTTATTTTTAGTAGGGATGGGGTTTCACCATCTCATCATGTTGGCCAGGCTGGTGTTGAACTCCCAACCTCAAGTGATTCCCCCACCCCCACCCCTGCTTCAGCCTCCTGAAGTGCTGGGCTTACAGGTGTGAGCCACCGTGCCCGGCCTCTGTGTGTCTTCTTAATGAGGCACTTGTCTCTCTTAGCTCACACTTAAAAGAGATTTGCAAAAAGAAAGAAGGAGCAGGGGGACTGGCTCTTGCAAACAGTGTGAGACCCAGTATTTTATTTCACAACTTATTTCTCCACTTGAACTTGAACTTGTTTCTCCACTGTCTGTTTCATTTCGAGGCAGTCCACTTGTCCCTCCCAAATGCTTTAGGAGTGTCCTGAGGCACTTGACTTCAAGTAACCATGGAAAGAATCAGAGTTCACTCAAGAACCAGTCTTTCTCTGACTTGAAGGAGAAGTCAGTGGCCACCTCGGGTCAGACTGGGGAGTTAATCTCCTTGGACAAATCTGAAGAGTCTAGTCTCCAAATATTTAGAAGAGAATAGGCAAGAAGAGAAGAACCACCAGCAGACTTGGAGGATAATTTCAACACAAATATTATTCAGAAAGCATTTAGAAAGGACTAATCATTTCAAGTAACTTGAGAATCCAACCAAGACAAGTTGAGCCTATACAGAACCCTTCAGATGCCCTCTTGTGGGAGACTGTGTTATTAATAGGCACCAAATTTGGGTTAGGACAGTGTTCTTGGGTATCAACCACCCTGTTCTTCCAAAATACTGCATTCTCTCCTGAAGAGTCAGATGTAATTAGTGTTAACTGGAGATTCCCTCCAGGAATGAGCTAAACAGTGAGATGCGGTTACAGTTAAGACTTCCTCTAAGAATGAAGTGGTTGTCCAAACTTAAATCTGTTGGCCGGGCATGGTGGCTCACGCCTGTAATCCCAGCACTTTGGGAGGCCAAGGTGGATGGATCACTTGAGGTCAGGAGTTCAAGACTAGCCTGGCCAAGATGGTGAAACCTCGTCTCTACTAAAAATACAAAAATTGGCCGGGCTTGGTGATGGGCACCTGTCGTCCCAGCTACTCAGGACGCTGGGTCAGAAGAATCGCTTGAACCCAGGAGGTGGAGGTTGCAGTGAGCCGAGATCCCACCACTGCACTCCAGCCTTGAGACTCTGTCTCAAAAAAAGAAAGCTGTTTGTCATCCTGCAGAAGGATGATGATCCCTTTAGACCAGAAAGATGACAATGAGAAGAACTAGAAGAACTTAATTTTTTTTTTTCTTTTTTTGAGACAGTCTCACTCTGTCGCCCAGGCTGGAGTGCAATGACACAATCTCAGCTCACTGCAACCTCTGCCTCCCGGGTTCAAGTGATTTTCCTGCCTCAGCCTCCCAAGTAGCTGGGATTACAGGCATGCACCACTATGCCCGGCTAATTTTTGTATTTTTGGTAGAGACAAGGTTTCACCATGTTGGCCAAGCTGGTCTCAAACTCCTGACCTCAAGTGATCCACCCGCCTCGGCCTCCCAAAGCTTTGGGATTACAGGAGTGAACCACCGTGCCCAGGCTGACATTTATATCTACATATCGCGGCTGTGTTGTTATTATTATTATTATTATTATTTTGCAAGTGATATGCATTCTGGGCCAGTGGGACCTAGGTCAGGTTGGCAGGAAACTATCTCAGTGTCTTGCCAAGCTTTACCTTGTTACCTTTACATGTGCAAGGGAAATTTTGCTCTTAAATGATCAAGAAAAATCAGCTATGTTTCCCCTGGGTAATGAGATTGTGGTTTATTTTCTTTTTTTTTTTTTTGCTTATCTATATTTTCTGCAATGAGCATGTATTATTTGTGAAACTAAATATATATAAAAATATATAATATATATTTTTAACGTATATATATATCATTTTAATTTTTAAAAATATACTCTTTCTAACTCTTGGCCTATATCCCTGCTTTTTGACACAAATTTAGCCAGACCCTTTCCAACCTCTTTACTCCTCCTGTTCAGGTGAACTGCCAAAAATCAGCAGACTTCAGTTTGGGAAGAGATTTTTTTGGAAGAGATTCATTTCCTCACTCTTGAACTTCTAAAAACAGCCCAGTTTTTCTTCTACCTCTCACCAAGCAGTGATTGATGCTACACCTGCCTCTGATGTGACAAAACCGAAGCCATGAATCAAAGCTTTCTATGATTCTTGCGCATTCTGAGGCTGGTGAAAGCACTAGCCGGGGGCACTGGGACGTGTGAAGATGCTCTGTGTGGGGGTTACTCTGCCTCAGGCACTTTGGAGGGTAACACCTGCTATCACTAACCTTTGATATGTTGCTCTGCTTTTTCAGATTTTCGACAATGAAGCCAAAGACCTGGAGAGAGAAGTTTGCTTTATTGATATTGCTTGCGATGAAATTCCAGAGCGCTACTACAAAGAATCTGAGGTAAGCGACATTTGGGATGAGATGTGGAAGAGATTCATTCATTCATTCATTCATTCATTCCGCAACTATTTCTTAAGTGCCTCCTAACTTGGGAGGATGCCATCTCTCGTTGTGTGGATTCAATTTGTTTTCATGTCTTTCTGGTTCTTTTTGCGAGTCTCAAAATTAAGTCCCTAACTCTTCAGGGACCATCATTGGCCCTGGCCGTTACTCAATTTCCACTTAGTTTTCCTGTCTCCCAACTCTGCCGTCATTTTTTGGTAACGTCAGTATCCGTAGGGCTGGGCCATCCAACACACTGGCCTCCCTGAAACACAACAGGCAGTCTCCCCAATCTCATGTTTTTTTTTTTTTTTTTGTTTTTTTGAGATGGAGTCTCGCCCAGGCTGGAGTGCGGTGGTGTGATCTCACTGTGATGTCTGCCTCCCAGGTTCAAACCATTCTTCTGCCTCGGTCTCCTGAGTATCTGGGATTACAGGCGCCCGCTACCATACCTGGCTAATTTTTGTATTTTTAGTAGAGATGGGGTTTCACCCTTTTGGCGAGGTTGGTCTCCAACTTCTGACCTCAAATGATCCGCCCACCTCGGCCTCCCAAAGGGCTGGGATTACAGGCATGAGCCACCTGTGTTTTATCTGTATCTGAATCAGTCCTTGAAAACTTTGATAGCTCATTCCAGCACAGCTCCTTTCTCTCAAAACAGCAAGCACCTTAGTGAGGGCATCTCCTTTGTTCTTGGCTGAGAATAAATTTCAGAGAACTTCTTTCTCTCTGGTTTTCAACCTACCGGGATCCATCCTTTGCCTTAGTTCTACCTTCCTGCTATATGGTTTGTGCGAGTCACCATTTATATCCCATTAGTATTTTATTAATGGCTGCTGACGGAACTTGGGTGACCCACTTGTATATAACATCCTAGCCCTGCAATGACAGCAGACGCAGGGCTATTTTTGTTGGTTAGCGACATGCCACCAATCCCAATATGTTTGGAATCAGGGCCCCAGACTCGTCCTCGAACCGTAACACGTGGACCTTGAAACTCTTCTCCCAGAGTCATTAAGGCTGATGGGAGACACAATAAATAAACTTGTTCAAAATGAATTCTGTCATTACACAAATAAACCAGGCTCCCAGCGTGGTTCGGATTTCTTTTGCCTCCACATTTTGGGATTCGTTTCGGTATGAAAGTCTTACCTGATCTTAGCAAATGCTTGGCTGCTTAATTGCAGGCACGTGTCTTCAGCTGCTGTCCCTGAAAGGGATGGGGAGAGGCTGATGTGGATCACTCTGCGGCCAACCACACCTATGCATTTTAAGATAAAGTTAAATGCTCTCTGCGTAACTGTGGAACCGCGGAAGAGGGAAATAAACAGGGCACCATTGACCTTCCCCTTGTCTCACTCCGTGGAAATCCTGTAGTTTCATGTCAAGTCTGCCAGTGCTTAATGGAGTCTGATGATGTCCAAAGCATTGTGCAAAGCACTCCTGTGACGCCTCGGGCCCCCCTGGGCTGCTGTCCTACCTGGACCTCCCAGCCTCTTTGGGGCCTTCCAGGAAAGCAGGGGTGCCAGAAAACTCTGAACTAATTTCAGCTTTTCCTCCCAGTGTGCTTTGGCGTGGCTCTGCCTGGACTTCAGGGAGTTCCCTCCTGATTCAGTAGGAAGTCTTGATACAAATATAGAATTTTAATGAAGAAATCAAGTCTCATTTCTAGTCAACGTGCCTGACTCATTTCCCTGTGCTCTGTGGCCCCAAAGAACCTCCACTAGAAAGCTTCCTTTCATTCACATAGACATTCGAGGAGCTTTTCCTTCATGCTTCACAGAGTCGCTCATGGGCACGTCCATACCTCTTTCCCTGGGTCCTAAAGTATTCTTCCCTGGATGCAGTTTGGCCAAGATGAGTGGTAAAGAGTCCATTAATTATTCATCCAATAAATATTTATGGAGCCCTCACTGAGTGTCACATACAATGTTAAGACGAGGATGTCTGGGCATGGTGGCTAACACCTGTAATCCCAGCACTGTGGGAGGCCGAGGCAGGCGGATCACTTGAGTTTAGGAGTTCGAGACCAGCCTGGTCAACATGGCAAAAACTCTACTAAAAATACAAAAAGTAGCTGGCAGGGTGGTCAGCTACTCGGGAGGCTGACGCACGAGAATCGCTTGAACCCAGGAAGCGGAGGCTTTGACGAGCTGAGATCTCAACAGAGCGAGAAACTGTCTCAAAAAAAAAAAAAAGACACAGCAGCAATGAGCCAAAGAGATACTTAGGGTCCCTCCCCTCAGGACACTTCCAATCTAACAAATACCACACAGAGAGTATTTGGCGAACAGTAGAGAAATAGTCACACAGATACATATGGAGTTCAGAGTCACAAGTGCAGGAAGGCAGGTACAGGGAGAGACTGTGATGAGGAAACTTCATTTAAGAGGATAGGATCAGGAGATATGCTATGGAAAAAATGACAGTTCAAGCCGGGCGCAGTGGCTCACGCCTGTAATCCCAGCATTTTAGGAGGCCAAGGCAGGCAGATCACCTGAGGTCAGGAGTTTGAGACCAGCCTGACCAGCAGAATGAAACCCCAACTCTACTAAAAATACAAAAATTGCCCGGGCTTGGTGGCATGCGCCTGTAGTCCCAGCTACTCGGAAGACTGAGGCAGGAGAATCGCTTGAAGTCCCAGCTACTCGGGAACCCAGGAGGCAGAGATTACAGTGAGCCGAGATCACACCACTGCAATCCAGCCTGGGCAACAGAGAGTTGGTCTCAAAAAAATAAATACATAAATAAATAAATAAATAAATAAATAAAGTTGAGGCGTCATAGGATCTAAATTATACTTTTAAAAGATTGTTCTAGATGGAGAATGGACTAGAGAAGAGCAGAGTCAGGAGACCACCAAGGTCACTATCATTATTTTTTTTTTTTTTTTTTTTTTTTTTTTTTTTTTTTGAGACGGAGTCTCACGCTGTTGCCCAGGCTGGAGTGCAGTGGCGCGATCTCGGCTCACTGCAAGCTCCGCCTCCCGGGTTCCCGCCATTCTCCTGCCTCAGCCTCCTGAGTAGCTGGGACTACAGGCGCCCGCCACCGCGCCCGGCTAATTTTTTGTATTTTTTTTAGTAGAGACGGGGTTTCACTTTGGTCTCGATCTCCTGACCTTGTGATCCGCCCGCCTCGGCCTCCCAAAGTGCTGGGATTACAGGCTTGAGCCACCGCGCCCGGCCCACTATCATTATTTATGTTATCAGTTACTTAGGTGCTATCGTGGCTTGCGCTAGAGGGCTGGCGGCAGAGATGGAGAGGAGCAGATGGTTTTGATGTATGTTTTGAAGATGAGGATGAATTGGCAGGGATTGCTTACGGATTGGATGTGGGGATGAGGTTGAAGGAGGAGTTGGGATGGCCTTAAGGATTCTGGCTTGAGCGACTGATAGATGGGGGTGCTGCTTACTGAAATGGGAAGATGAAGAGAGGTGTACGTTGGAGAAAGACGCGTGGATTTTGTGATGTCAGTGAGGCAGCTAACACAAACAGAAATGAGTCTGGAGCTTAGGCGAGAGATCTGGGCTGGAGACAAACTCGAGAGTATTTGGCGAACAGGAGATTTAAAAATCCTGGGGTTGGATGAGAGGAAGAAAGCATGAAGTATAAATGGGAAAGGGGTTCAAGTCCGAGCCTTCAAGGATGGCAGCAGCTGGCGATCAGGTCGAATCTAAAAGAATCAGGCATCTAAAAGAATTGGTCAGAAAGTTAGGACGAAAACAAGGGAAATGCACCAAGGAATGTAAGTTTCAAGAGGAAGAGAGTGACCAGAGGTGCTGAATGCTGCCAAGAGATCGAATAGGAAGAGAATGGAAAACTGTCCACTAGAACAGTTCTCCACTGGGGGCGATTATTGCCTCACGAGGATGCTTGGCAATGTCTATAGACATTCTCAGTTGCCAAAACATAGGAGGGCTACTGGTATCTAGAGTGTAGAGGCCAGGGATGCTGCTAAAATCCTCTACAGCACAGACAGCCCCTCACAACAAAGAATTATTGGAATCCAGCCAGATGTGGTGGCTCACACCTGTAATCTCAGCACTTTGGGAGGCTGAGGCGGACAAATCACAAGGTCAGGAGTTCAAGACCAGCCTGGCCAACATGGTGAAACCTCGTTTCTACTAAAAATACAAAAAATTAGCTGGGCATGGTGGTAGGTGCCTGTAATTCCAGCTACTCTGGAGGCTGAGGCAGGAGAATCACTTGAACTTGGGAGGCCAAGATTGCACCACTGCACTCCAGCCCAGGTGACAGTGCGAGACCCCGTCTCAAAAAAAAAAAAAAAAGAATTATCTGGCTCCAAATGTCCATAGTGCCAAGGCTGGGAAACTTTGTTCTACAGGAAGAGGTGATTGAAGATGGATGGAACTCTGGATTCAGCTTTGATGCTCAGGGCCACCCCTGGCCTGTCCTAGAGTCTTAGGGTTACTGAACGGATGCGGGAGAAGGGGGCCCATAGGGCTGAGCCCTGCACACTCATCATCCATTGTGTGACCTCCCAGGGGATCTGCTGGCCTCTGTAACAGGTGGAATTCCTCCTCCATGGACCTGGCAGCCGGATCACAAAGGGCTACAGGTACCACTGGGAGCCTGCAATAAAATCTTAGAAAAAACATTCCCCCAGGGGCGACTCCCTTGTGACCCCAGCCCCACCATCTTCAACAGGCCAGAATACAGACTGCAGTCTGAATCCACCCGAAGGAAGAGGGGTGAGTTTCCTGGGCTGTTTTGATGGTTGTGTCTACGGTAAACATGCCAGGGACTGGGAGTAAGAGGAACAACAGATTCAGAAGGCAAACCATTTCCAAACAGACAGAAATGTCTAACTGGCACACTGTAAATAATTAACACCCTCCACCCCACCGCAGGAGTTTCCTTCTAAAATGAAATCTGACCTTGTTCTGTGCTTAAAATCCCTCACTGGCCCTCCTTTAGAGTTCAGCTCACACAGGACT